TGAAAGAAACACCACCAAAGACTGTAAACGAAGTCCGTAAACTAATGGGGTCCCTAAACTATTATCGTCAGTATATTGAGAACTTTTCAAGAATCGCCAAACCAATTTACGACCTTGTCAAGCTAGTCGACTACGATAAAAATGATGCTAACCCCAAGCGGAAATATCGCAATCAGCCACCTCCAAATCAACAAATCTCTTGGACGCCAACCCATCAATCGGCCTTGGAGAGACTCATTCAATGTCTTGTGAGTGTTCCAGTAATGGCTTACCCTGAACCTAATAATTCCTTCGTGTTGCACACCGACGCATCCGAAAGCGCTTTGGGCGCTGTACTGTGCCAACAACGAAATGAGGTTCTACGTGTCATCGCATACGGTTCCCGCACGTTGACGACAGCTGAGAAAAACTTTACTATGCGCCAAGTTTTGTTGTGTTCACTGATAACAATCCATTGACATATGTCATGTCTACGGCCAAATTAAACGCAACAGGACTTAGGTGGGTGGGAGTGTTAGCAGATTTCAACTTCACCATTCGTTATCGACCTGGGAAAGCAAACGCTGATGCCGACACATTATCTCGAGTGCCAAAAGATATGGACAACTACATGAAACTATGTACTGAAGATACGACACAAGACGAGTTACGGACAATAAGCTAAACAGTGAATTTTCAAGAGCAGGGAAAGGTGAACAGGGTGTCTTCGCTGATCAACGATTCAACTATCCAAATGTCGATGCATCAAGAACCCCAAATAGCAACAGATCAACATTGGAAGTTGATGACATAAGACAAGCTCAAATCGAAGATAGTATTATTGGTAAAGTGTACTCCTTTATCAAAGCAGACAAGCGATCTACGACAAGTGAGCGAGCCCGTGAATCAACCGACACACAATCGCTTCTTCGCGAATGGCAGAGACAGTCAATTGGTTCAGACGGAGTGTTAAGGCGAAAGAAAGGAACACACGACCAAATAGTCCTACCCAGAAAGTACCACGCAATGGTACTAAGAGAACTCCACAACAACATGAGTCAGCTTAACAGTAAGAAATGTAAGGAGATGATAATATCCTTCCTCCAATACCACCTTGCACTTGATAATGCGATCTATATAGATGGTTCGCCAGTGCAATCAGTATCTTCCTTTAAACTGCTCGGTGTGCTACTGAGGGAGGATCTATCTTGGTGTGATCATATTGACTATGTGATTTAAAAAGCAAATTCCAGACTCTATGCATTGCGGAAGTTAAAAAAGGCTGGGTTAGGCGTTAAAGAACTTGTCACTATATATTCCTCCTTCATTCGGTTCCGAATATATTCCTCCTTCATTCGGTTCCGAGTTCGCTTCACCGGCGTGGTCAACGCTGACCCAAGCTAGGCCAGTCTGACCTTATCGAATCGATACTGAGAAGAGCATTACGTATCTTGCTTCCTGAAATGTCGTATCAAGACGCATTGGATTATACCAGTCTAAAAAGGTTAAGTACACGTAGACATAATTCCTGCGAACAATTTATCCGGAAATTGAAGCTTGACAATGGTCCTATAAATCCTCTTAAGGATGTTGTTGCAACTCGTATACACCCAACTACTCATAATTATAATCTTAGGTCCGAATCAAGCTGGTCACTCCAAACGAACACAGAACGGTTTCAAAATCTTATAACTGTTAAATATAACCATTAATGTATTATTGATTTAGTAGTACTCGTGTATATTCAGGTACCCAATTATAATTTGTGGACAGATTTAAACTGTCTATTCAGAACGAACATTGATCGGTTTGAACTCAATTTTATCTGTAAATTTAATTTTTAATGTATTTACTTATAATCATGTAATTCAGTCTCTACTGCAATGTGATTAATTAAACAGATTATTATTATCTTGGTTCTGATCGTGTTCTACATCTAGCCAGACATCGGTTCCACTGGCCTCGTATGCAACGCGACGTTGAAAATTACGTAAAGAACGTGTGACGCTGTGTGAAATAAAAACCTCCACGGCTGAAAATGCGAGCTCCACTGCAACCGATTATAACTACTTCGCCATTCGAGTTGGTGTCAATCGATTTTGTCCATCTGGAGAAGTCGAGTGGTGGGTTTTAGTACATCGTAGTGATCGTTGATCACTTTACACGATACGCGCAAGCTTACCCGACTTGAAACAAAGCTGGAAAAACCGTTGCACAGAAGCTTTACAACGATTTCGTATTACGTTTTGGGTTTCCTGCCAAATTCCATCACGACCATGCGTGAAGTATTCCCGGACGACCCTTACCATCCGCAGGGCAACGGTCAAGTGGAAAGATTTAATAGGACGCTGTTAGACATGCTCAGAACACTCTCTGAAAATCAAAAGTCATGCTGGAAAGACCATGTTAACAAGGTTACTGTACATGCGTACAACTGTACACGGAACGACACAACCGGGTATTCACCATATAGGCATAACAGGGCTGACCTAATTAAACTAGTTCTACAATATTATGTAAAATTTAAAAGTTAAAAGATAAATTGTCGCGATAAAAAATGGTATTCTTGTTCCACCGGGTATTTACCATTCTTTCTCTTTGGACGACAACCCCGACTACCAATCGACCTTCTGCTCGATCCCAACCTAGTAACCACCAGCAAAACCTATCCCCAGTACGTGTCAGAGTGGAAAAACGCCATGCATGAGGCATATCAGCTGGCTGGACGAAAGGCAAAATAGAAAGGTGATAAAGCGAAGAAACACTACGATGGGTACCTGATCGCTTGACATGTTGAGATAAGTACTTTTAGTGTTTCAAGTTTAAACTATATATATATATATATATATATATATATATATATATATATATATATATATATATATATATATATATATATATATATATATATATATATATATATATATATATATAACCTTTTGTAGGGTTAAAATGGTACACCGTGGAATATTTTAAAATTATTGCGCTAAATATTGCCTGAAGTAGGTTGGAATACTAAGCAACACACGTTCTTTCAAGTCCATTTCATTGGTTTGTATTACACCTATAACTGGGGATATTATCACAGTCTTAGTGCATTGGTGGTGGTACACCGTTATGTATGACACTGAGAAAAATTACACATTGATTTACCACACCTGGAAAACGTGTGTCAAAATGCATAATTCACATTCATATAGTTGTCACTTAATATTTTAAATATATGCAGTAAATACCAGAAACGTAACTATATGTTGAATTTATTGTCCCTTAGTTCTACTGGATATCACAGACATTTATGTATAGACTGAATGTATAACCTATCAATATATAAGTCGCACAAACCCTTATGGAAATATATTTTTTGGGTCGTACATTGTATTTCATGCACTGATCGCTTGCCATGTCTGTCTAGGCACCTTCTCACATATGGTCGATTAGGCCGGTCTATTGTGTCTTGCAGGTCTTATTTAAATATACATATAACAAATATGACTCCTATATATTTCTTAATTTCTGAATTATTGCAATGATATCTACTAGAACGCGATAGTTTTACTTTCTCAATTATTTCCGAAACATTTCGTTGCTTTTAATTGCTAAAAATAATATATCGTATGCGATTTTCTCGGCAAAAGTTTCTACCACACATTATTACCCTTTCAAAACACTAAGATATTCATGACGTATTTAATTAATGAAATAAGGTACTTGATGTAATTATGAACATAAGTAGGCCATACGGAATGCACATAAACGAAATACATGGCAAGGACATGTATAAAAAGCGAAATGTAAAAGAATATAATTTCGACTCATTTCAGACAATCCTGGACAAAACCATCTGCGACACTCTATTAAAACATTGCTTTGTGGCTTTTTTTACCAGTTAGACCGGAATAATTTACTCGTTTGCCCCCCTCCACCCCCCAAAACAATGTTGGACGTTTTATCCGTATTCTACGAATGCAATCAACATTGAATGGTGGGGGGAAAGGGGGAGGTTTTCTAAATTTACGATAATATTACGACATTTTGTCAAGTAATTGGAAATGTTGCAGATGTTTTGTCCAGGATTGTAGAAATACAATTGTATTCCATAGTCCATGCTCTCGCTTTGACGCAAAGAGCGCAAACTCAAGATAAATGCAATGCTTGCATCAGAAGTTCTTATTCTATGTTCTATTCGAAATCGTGGGTTAGAATCAATGGATGATCCCAGCTATGGACGAAATTTTGATCAAGATAAGAAGAACGAAGCCATTACAATAGTTGGAAAGAGAATCTTAAATGAGTAAATTGCAAAGTTTTGGTTGTTGGAAAACGAGGAAAATATAGCCCTGTGAAATTCGCAAATTTTTTGCATACTGTATTTGCATTGCGCGAAGGGAAAACTAACCATTTTTGTGCCGAAAGTCGTATATACAAAATTTACAAACTGCACAGGGCTGTATTTTCTTAATTTGACAACATTTAGCAACCAAACTGTGCAGTTTTACTCATTCTAAGACGTTTCTTTCTAGTTGTGGTGTTGGATTTCGTTCTTCTTGCTTTGATCAAAATTTTGTCGATAGCTGAAATCATTCATCAGGAAAGTCTGAAACTTTCTTCACTTAACTTTTATTTGTTCCATTTCCTAAATAACAACAAAGGCCAATATTCTTACTTTGTAGTATTTACTGTGTAGATCAAAGATATATACTCAGAGTGAAAGAAAATCAATTTATATTCACTTGATCACAGACTAGAACACTTTCTTTTGCATTTTAGCCGGCGAGCAGTAATTTGACGACTTCGTAGTTTGTATAAATGGTCACGCATCCTGGCATTCTTTATGTATTTTGGGGGGAGCTAAGCCCTCCCACTTTTACTTCTGGCGGGGTACAGCCCCCTATCCCCCCCTGTTGTGCCGTCACTGTTGTCGGCCGCCATGTTGCTGGCAAGTAGATTGCAGCAAGTATAATAGGATTGGCGAAAAGTGCTTTTCAGTAACAAAATGGAAAATTTTTGTGATCTTGTCTTTTACCGTATTTTTTGTGGATGGTAGCCTACATTAAAATAGGAAGGTAAGAGGAGTGTATTTTTGTATTTATGAGATTAAGAACTGTGTTTAAAGTGATTAAAATCGTTTGTATGAGTGAGCTGTATGTACTAACATGGTACTGTCCACACAAATGAATGGTATATGTTGATATATATGAAAACGTTTATATTATGTTCTTTTTTCCGGAGTTATTTTTACACAATATTGTTATAAAATCGTGTGCTATATACAATAGTAACTGTGTGACTGTTGACAAATACACCGTTTTGTTCAATGTGATCAATAATTATAAAATCTTTTTAAAATATCAGTCTTAAATCTTGGTCTTGATATGTTTAATATTGAAGTGATGTTTTGTATATAGTTGCACTTAGTTTCTCGAAAATATATTTACATTTAACAAATATAAAACATTTTCCGTGTTGATATGCAGTTATATCAACACGAGCGGAAATGGGGGAAACGGGAAATTGTGTGTTTTCACACAATTTGGAGTTTTCTCAAATTCCAGGAGTGTTGATATAATTATATATCAATACGGAAAAAATGTTTTATATTTGTTTTATTATATAGCACCGACGTTTCCGTGTTAACATTGAGTTATATCAACACTGCTCTTAGCCAATCAGCGTTAAGAATTTACAAATGCTATATTATAAAATTGTATTAAACACGATTAAAATGTGGTTTAGAAGATGTGGTTTATATAAGACAGTGTACTAATTTGATGTTTTTCTGCTTTCCTTTTAGATGCAAAGTTCCTGTTCCCAAACTTGGTTGTATAATATATATGCATCCTCGAAAACAACTTCAGCATATATTCCACAGGAAATGTAACTGTTGTGGATTTTGTATAAACTGAAAAGTTTTTCACGAAGCTTTCCTCCAGGTGCAAAATATAGTCAAGTAAACACTGCATGTGTATACCTCCGGAAGTATATCTGCTGGTATCCATAGGCGTACGGGATCAGAAAAATTAAGGGGGAGGGAGAACGAAATTTGCCGGACTTTTGCATTTTGCCTGACCAATCAAATTTGCTGCTAAACTTCGGAAACTTTCGAGAAGCTAAAAACGTTTCCCCACATTGCCTTATTTTTTTGCATTTTTTACTATTCTCATGTGCCTTGGATAACTACAGTACATCATGCTTTGAAAGAAAGACACAACAAAGTTCCCTTATTTAAAAAGAAATGGCTAAACGCATGTGCCTCTGACAACTGTAAAACCTTCGCATTTGGATAATAATCTTCCGCTTGGCCAAGACACGCAATTTGGCAGAAAAGTTTTCAAAAGACGGATACTCTACATTTTATTTATATTTTACTGCATTTAATACAATCAATACTTTGACAATAATTGAGTACACTACACTTATATTTTAATAAAACACAAAACAACAGACACTCCGAAAATTGTAAACATTGTAATTCTTTACGTTTCGACTATAATTTAAGTCATCTTCAGAAGAATTTCGAAAAGCCAACTATTTATAAGCTAGATGCTTGCGTGTTCAAAGTTTGATACCATCATTAATTTAAAGTAACGCGAAATTGTTAATTCTTTCGACGCACGCACACCATGGTTCAATGGTGGATTACAACGATGGATATGAAAAGCCTCTTTAAATAACAATAATGACCAATCGTTAGATTGATCAATTAATCTACAATTACTATAAATTAAGTCTACCAAACTTGTAGAATAATTACAATCTAGTAAATTGGCTGGAAAATTTAACAACGTACGAATAAACTGAAATTCGTCACAATTATGCACATGATTATCAGACTTAGCGTGTTCCTTGATGCGTGTGTAGAGACATCGGACCGTATTGCCAACATAGGAAGAAGAACAAACAGGGCACGAGAATTTGTATACAACAGGATTCTTGTGAGGTTTTAGAATAGGATCTTTTTGAGATGTAAAAGTATTAGCATTAACAGTTTGCCAGAGGGTGACGAACTTGACAAATTTCTTTATGAGTCGCGAGATCTTACGTGTGCAATTTCGTACGAGACTACAACCTTTCTTTCCACCAATCCAAATTGTTGGTATGCTTTCACTTTCATGGGTTTTATTGGGTTCGTTGGGTTTACTAACGGTGAAGGTTTTGATTAACTTTGTGACTGACGAGCGTGGAAAGCCATTCCAGAAAGCGAATTTCTTGATCTTTTGGATTTCGCGCGGTTCAGTAAATCAGATCTTTTGGGCGCGTTGAACGAGCCACTATTCCAGCTTCACACCATGGTCTCGGAAAATAGCATGGATTCGTGCCACTTTTACATCTCAAAAAGATCCTATTCTAAAACCTTACAAGCATTCTGTTGTGTACAAATTCTCGTGCCCTGGTTGTTCTTCTTCCTATATTGGCAAGACGGACAGATGTCTCTACACACGCATCAAGGAACACGCTAAGTCTCGGTTAAGTCAGAAATTTCGTGACCGTTTACTAACTCCTCCGCAGTGGCTGGTTTCCTTTCCTTTAACCAAATACATAATTCCCCCCCGACGCTATTTAGTAAATGTTCAATCACTAATTGGTCTAAAATTTTTTCAGCATCGCCGGTTGCCTTAGCTACTGACATCCATCTGTCCAAATACCGCCTCGTCCTATGAGCCCATTGCCCGAAATCTTCATCCGGTTTTTTCTCGGTATGTCGAAACCGAAACCTATAATGATCTACATTAAGTTGGTACGATTTCAATATGATTTCCTTGCTTTTATCATAGTTACAGGCATCCAATCCCGAAATTTCCAGAAATATAGATTTAGCTTTTTCGCTTAAACGTGGTGCCAAACTTCCTAACCATTCTGACCGTGGGATTTGCTGTGTTTTAGCCGTCATTTAAAAAATCCGAAAATAATCATCGATATCTTCAGTCTCCCTCATTTCTCGCACTTTAACAAATTTTCCCGAGCATCCGGAAACTGATAGAGTTTTAACTCTTTCTTTCTCTAGTTCTACCTCAAACGCCCTATCCTCAAATCTAGCTCGTTGTCTACTCTCCTCTCTTCTGATTTCTCTCTCCTCCCTCTCACGTTCTAAGTCCCGCTCAAAGCGTAAAGCTCCATCCTCTCCCGAAAACTTAAAGTATCCCCGGGAATTTCGCCCCCATTTTTCATCGGCAGATCACTGGTCAATTTCAATTTACCCAGGCTATCTGAAAGATTTTGCATGTGTTCATCATTCTCAAACTCTCCAGGTTGGGTATCGTGAGCTAATGCTTGTGCCTCATCCGTTTTCCCAACAAAAAAATTTATATCATATGTACGTAATCTGGCAGCCAATGTCTGAACACCGTCTTTTGAATTTATTGTTAATTCTCTTCTAGTACATTCTTCCCGTAGCGCATCTAATTGCCAGTCATTATAGTTGGTCATCCTGACACTACAATTTACTAATAACACTTCGCAGCCTTGATTATCCCACCGCTGCCACCAATTGTGACGATTTCTATCGCCGACGTGGGCGC